GCCCCCACAGGCATGCCCTCCAAGCGTGGCCAAGCAACGAAAACTCGGCCGTGAGTCCCCAGCACAGCCGCCCGCCGCACACCGCCGAACCAGAGCACTCAGTGGCGCTTTTTGGGGCTTGCGGCTGTGTAGCTGGTGGTACAGGCTTGCCAACAAAGGGAAACTTGACCAGTGCCGGTCCACCATCCCGCACGCCCAGGTTTGACCTCCACCTTCACGCCATTGGCCGATGCTCAACACCCCGGGTCCGCAACCGTGTTCAACCGTGAAATTTCGAAACTATGCGGCTGGAACGAGCCCACGCGTGCAACGTTGGGCCAAGGCGGTGACGTTTTGGGCGTGGCGAGAGGCGACACCGCCATGTGGTGCTTGCTGGGTGAGTATAAAACACAGGCCTGCTTCTGCCTTTCTCTTCATTCCTATCACTCTCTTCTTCCAGCGAACAACTCCTTCACGCGGGCCAGTGAGTATCTCACTGCTTTCCCGAAGTGCTCAATCTTCTTCAGCTCCTCTACCTCACTTCCAGCGTCGAACGACCACTACTTCGGCTTCGCTCCTTCCATCTTCATCTTCAAACTACACAACACAGCACACAAAAGATGGCCATGCACGAGGAGACGGTGGTGATTCGCGAGCAGGTGGGCAGCGGCGGTAGCGCGACGGTCTACAGGGGCAGCCTGTCGCCCTCGAACGCCGACGTAGCGGTGAAGATCGTCAAGAAGGACCTGCAGTCAGAGAAGGGCCGAAAGATTTACAACCGCACCAAGAGCGAGAGCCGCATCATGAGCGAGATCAACCACAAGCACGTCTGCAAGATTATGGGCGAGGTGGAGACCGACGCCAACATCTTCCTCGTCCTCCAGTACGCCGCCAACGGCGACCTGCTCGACCGACTCAACGCCCAGGGACCCCTCAGCGAGAAGCAGACCCGCAAGATTTTCAAGCAGCTCGTCCTCGCCATCAACTACCTCCATGGCAGGGGCGTCGTGCACCGTGACCTCAAGCCTGGTACGCACATCAACCATTCTCATCTTCTTCTACTCAGCGACTTCTTCTTTCTACTTCGCCTCCGCCACTTTTCGTCGCCTTCGTTCTTTTCCATTTTCCTCCATTTTCTTTTACTGACGTCATCATTTTTCCTTTTATAGAGAATGTCTTCTTCGACGAAAACGACAACGTGCTGCTGGGCGACTTCGGCTTCGCCATGACCTGGTCGCCGGTGCAGACCGTCGAGGAGTACGTGGGTACGCTCAACTACGCCGCGCCCGAGATCGTCACCCACACGCCCTACACCGGCCCCGAGCTCGACATGTGGAGCCTCGGCGCGCTGCTGCTGGCCATGCTCACCGCGCGCATCCCCTTCGACGCCCCGACCGAAGAGTCCACCGCGCTCAAGATCACCGAGGCCAAGTTCAAGATGCCCGTCGGCGCCTCGTCGGCGGCCAAGGACCTGCTGACCAAGCTGCTCCAGCCCAACCCGCTCAAGCGCGCCACGATGATGGACGTGCTGGCCCACCCGTGGATGAAGACCCGCTTCCAGCAGCGAACGATCCCGACCCACCTCGGCCTGGCCAAGAAGCTGCGCCAGGAGGCCGCCTGCTGCCACAGCTCCGAGGCCATGTAACTACTCACACAACCTCGGCCGTCCTCGTCTTCTTCCTCCTCATCATCATCTGCCGATCATGTACATTTGTAGCATCCAGCCTCTCCACACTGCTCTCGACCTCGACCCGCGCATTGCGACACCGACGAGAGCTACCTACGTCCATACAATAGAGTATTGTATTAATATAAATAGAACTGTGAATATAATCTTCTACATCCTCAACTTCTCAGCCTGTGTATCTTCTACAAAGCCTGCAAGCACACTGGGAAGTCAAGGCAGGCCGCCATCTCGTAAAGGGTGTAGAGATGGCTGTGGGTGGAAGAGTCTGCGCGAGCGAACGGGGACCCACTCTACCGGTTTGGAGAAGGTGGTGCGGAAGGGCGATAGGTTCAAGTTCAGGAGCGACGACCGCAAGAGAGTTAGGGACTACGTGGTCGGCGTGGCCGCCAAGCCGTGCTGGCCTCAGTCTTCGTACTGCTCTCGTCCGCCATATCTTCCAACGTCCTCG